TCTGGGGGCGCTCTAAACCAAGAAAGCAATGCTACTTTGAAACCACTTTGAAACACTAGTATTTTCGGCAAAAGAAACGGAAAATGTTTTTCTTTAACTCTGTGTGCCTACCTTGTAAGCACGGCGTTTGTATATAAACCAGTAACTTATATTTTGAGCATTAGAGGTGCGAATAGGCGAGCAATAATATTCTGATTGATTAGAAGACTTACCTTACAGTTTAAGGTTTAAACGAAGGCTAAGCTAAGATTTAATTTTTCTTCATCAGTGTGTGAGAAGAGTTAAAGTTTCAGGCTGTTCGTTTAGCAGAAAGTACCTAGTTGAAGGCATTGACAAGTTATAAATTAAGTTCGTTGGTTTTTTAGTTTGAATGTTGTTTCCAGTTCAACTAAGCTATCGAGGAGGGTTTCAAAGTCAAAGAACTCTGAAAAAAGTTTAGAAACTCGCTGCTGCAGTTTTCATCGTATATATTTACATGCTAAAGCCATGTTTGATTGCTGTATTGTTGGAAACTGGACAAACTGGAAATTATTGATAGAAAAAACACTATAACAATATAAAATTGAATTTGAAGTTTCACACTTATATATAAATTTATATGCACAAACGGCCTATAGCCCCGGGTCTCACGATGTCGGGTGCCTCGGTAATATAGATTTTATATTGCGCATTTTTTTTTAGAAAAGGGCCTTTGCAAGGCTCGTAGCCCCGAGCCCCCGTCAAAGGTATTGCGACTTTGTTTTTACAAAACGGACCCTCCAGAGATCGTTGCCCCGGGCCCTACCACAGGTTAATCCGGCCCTGCTTATATGCAGGTTTGAAATATTCTCCAACCAGAAACATTTGTGTCAAGTGAGTACTATAAGAAATTCGCTACGCCAGTCCCAAGCCTGGAGTCTTTCCACTTGACAGAAAGGAGGGAAGGAGGAATGCAACACCCTGTTAAAAAACCAGTGTTCATCTGGCTCGAATGATATCACCTTGTGAGGGTCCTTGCTTAGGATATAGGTGAAAAGCCGTGGGTCAATGGTCCTGAGAGTAGGAAAATAGATGCGACTTCAATCTAGTTGAGAGAGCAGAAGAGCCTACGGTGAAGGGAAAACTGGTCTTAACAGTCCGGAAAGTCTGCCAGTTTATGGGAAGGAAACCCAGAGAAAAAACTACTTGGTCCTCCAGGTTAGGGTTGAGACAATGGACCTGCAAACCATCACGTATGAAAAAATCATAAACCACGCAAAATTTCTCAACAAAGCCTTGGAAACGGGCGGGAAATCTGGAGAACGACATTTGGCAAAGAAAATGATTCTGAGAATTGGAACGTGCAATATTCAGGGATTTCAACAAAAAAATGCGGTATATAAGTTTTCAGATAAATCAACAAACTTAGATGGACGTAGTAGCGTTGACCGAGTCCAAGAAGAAGGGCCAAGACACAAAAGAGAAACATGGGTATATCCGTATACACTCGGGTGTTCCAAAAGAAGAGAGAGGTCACAGCGGAGTGTCGGATGGCATGCAGGCGACGGAGTAGTTGGACCATAAGGCGAAAATACGATAAATAATAATGGAGAACGGATTCTTGAATTGTGCCAGCAAAATGCGCTGAGTGGATGGTGGAAATCCATAAAATCCATAATTGACTACATCATTGTGAAGCAACAAAGAAAGCAAAGAAAATTAAAGGTCAGTGATGTACGCGCCATGAGAGGACTAGAATGTGGCACAGACCACTCTCTCTTACGGTGAAAAATATCTTTTCCTTTTAAAAAGCATGGTCAGCAAACAAATACTCAACAGCAAAGAGATTAAAGTAAACATAAAACAGTAAGATACAACATTAAAGCACTGGAAGATGACTCCACTAAATTCTTATACCAAATCGGCCTAACAAGTAAAGTTACAAATATTCTAAATGGATCACCGGATACCATGTTCGAAGGTTTGAAAAGCTGCATCCACCAAGCAGCTAAAGACGCACTAGGAGAATTGGATGAGTGTGAGAATTCTGCGTGAACCCTGGTGGAATACAAAGCAAGAATCTCTGGTAGAAGAGAAAAAAGGTATAGAATGTCGCTAACAACAAAAAGCCCCCAAATAAACTAATTTACCGATCTAAGAACAAGAAAACGCAAAGAGAAGTTATCAAAGCAAAAAACATGCAGATAGATGCATAGGAAATACCAGACCAAAAAAAAAATAGAAAATGATAAAAGGAATGTGGACCAATAACAAAGATGTCAGGAATAAATCTCATTAACATGCGAGAATGGGTAAACGTCTACAAACGACTATTAACTGAGGACCGAGTAAAGTTCATCCAACTTTTGCTATCGCTGGAAGGTGGCGCATTTGTTTTTATGTCTGTCAGCCATTATTAACAGAAAACAAAACAGTCCACGCCAGTAAACAATTGATCGAGTTTTATTGCAACCATCCGTAGTAAATAATTAATAAAAGTACCATCAAAAGCAACGCCACGAGTCAGGCAGTTAACAATTTACAAACAGAAGGTCAGCACATGAATAAAAACATCATACCCATAACACTAGGAGAAATAAGATCAACATTAACTCAGGATGAATATCAAAAACTCCCCCGGCCCCGGTAATATCAACATTGAATTACTGCAGGCAGCGCCAAATGTAATTTTGAACATCTTAGCAGTCATCTTCAACCAATGTATAGAAGGTAACGAACCCCTAATGAATGCAAAAAAGCGGCGATTACATCGATCTTCAGAAAATTAGATAGGCGAGATTGCACGAATTAGCGGGGGATAAGTGTTATGTGTTCCATGGCAGGCTTTTATGATAGGGTGTTAAAATGCAGGATTGAGCAACAATTTGCAGAATCTGAGGAACAGAATGCATTCAAGGCAGGATGACCTCGTATGGATGGTGTTTTCACAGTAAATTTTTTTTAATGGAAAAACGTGTCGAAAGAGGAAGGGCTGTTGATTTGATATTCGTTGACCTACAGAGGGCATACGATACAGTGCCGGTAAACAAGCTATGGCTTTGCACGAGAACAGTGGTTATCGATATAGGCTTCCTATGTTGGCGCCGTTAATACATTATAATCGAACAATTCAAGTTCAGTAAAGATAGGAAAGCGACTGTCCCAGGAATTTCAAGTGACGAAAGGCCTAAGACAAGGCTGCTCTTTGGCTCACTTATTGCTTAAAATATCATCATAACAGCATCCCCCTAAGGAAGCATCCCCTAGATCTTGGAAGCGAAAATGTTGCAAGATGGACCTGTGAATCAATGGCGATACTTTATATACCATACTATTCGCGGATGATCAAGTTATTGTAGCGAAGATGAGGACGATGCCAGCTACATGTTTCGCAAACTTCAAGATAGCTATGAAGACTGCGGCCGCACCGTAAACATAAAAAAAGAGCGAATATATAGTAGTAGGAGCAGAAGGACAATATTTGGAAGTCGGGCACGATAAGAGCAACAGTTGTTCTTCATTTAAGTACCTTGGAGTTACACTATCTTCCAACGGGGAAGGTGCCGGCGACATCAGTAACAAGAAGTAAGAAGGAAAGAGAGCTATTCGACAACTAAACTCGTTTCTTTGGAGCTCAGAAATAACAAAAAAGACGAAAATTACTATCTACAAAACGATCGTAAAAAGTATAGCACCTACGTAGCGGAGACTTGGGAAATCAGTAACGGAGATAAGTCTAGGTTGATGGCCCCTGAAATGTATTTTTTAGAATAAGCTGTCATATTTCCAGACTAGATCGCGTAATAAATAGATACCAAAATATTAATTTAGTACGGAAACTTCTAAAGAATGGATGGAAATAGATCGCCTAAGATAATACCGAAATTGATTCCTCCCGAGCGAGGACAGCGCGAAAGACCACCTAGAAGTTGGAGGAAAGATTTGGAAGAATCAATGGAGGCAAGAGTTCTACAAGATGGAGATTGGGCAGACCGAACAAAATGAAAGTTCAGAAGCGAGAAACGGCTCAAACACACTTGGAAAGGAAAAAGCATATGGATAAAATTATTCGGTCAACCGCGACCCAACTGTAAGAGAAAATAGAGGATTACAACGCACAAATCAACAAAAAATTGGAACCTACAGAAGCTCTGAGAAATATGACACTCAAAGAGATTATGGGCAGTGTTCAAGGTAGCTATAAAAAAAGCATGCTCCATGAAAACAAGAGCTGATACGAACTCAGCTAGAACACCAATAAACTACTGGCAGAACGCAGAACAACGGAAAGAGATTCAGCAAAATATCAAACGCGATATCTTATAGAGAAGTGAAAAATGCAATTGAAAGGACCTGAKATTTTATAACACACAAACAATAAACGAAGCTATCGAGRGGCTCRAAAAGMWCAAAWGAAAAGTCTCTCAAATACAAAATTAAGARCGAAYAAGGAGAAGTTGTTRCAGAGAGGCAGCAAATAACATCCACTATCCAGCATTTTTACAAGGAACTTTMCAGCCAATCAGTACCTAAACCAAACCGAGCGAAAATTGAAGTCATCCRAAATGAGGACTCTCAGARGATATCCYAGAAATTGACACTGCAGAGTTAAGGATAGYATTAAAGCAGATAAAGAACCRGAAGGCCCCAGGAGAAGATCTCCGTACGGAATAAAAGTTAAAAAAAACGGATGTAAAACTCTTGAAAAAGCACTRACTGTCCTTTTTAACAGATTYCCAGAGAAAGGAAAAATTCCCGATACATGGAGAAATGCCGAGGTTATAATCCTCTCTAAAAAGGGGGACCGAACTAACAGAGAACTACAGACCGGTTATCCTCCTATTCGTTTTGTGGAGGGTTCCCAGCAAAATAATTACCAACTGCCTCAATAATGAGTTTGATTTTTACCAGCAGGCTGGATTCCGGAGCAGTTATAGTACCTTGAGCACATCGAAATAGTGCGCACTCTTATAGAGAAGTGTACAAAATACAATGTCCCGTTACACCTCGCATTCGTTGACTACCAGAAARCATTCGACCAYATGAGCAACGCGAGCATCGACGATCAAGAATATARGAGYCTCATTGAAGATATCTACAAAGATGTTACGGTCCATGTYAAAATAGATGGAAACTCAACAACGGATGAGATCCYAATACAGAGAGAAGCTGGACAGGGTGACTCGATTTCTCCGAAATTATTCACCCTGGCGGTGGAAGATGTCTTTAGGAAATTGTCATGGCAACAGAAGAGAGTCAACATGCACCGAATATACCTAAATAATCTCCGATCTGCCGAGGACATTCTACTCATCAACACTAATGCAGGGGAGCTTAGCAATATGTTACACGACCTGAGGGAAGCATCGCAAATGGTGATTGAAAAAACCAAAATTACGAGCCCAGACAATATTTGTGTCACTATAGATAACCACGCACTTCAAGCTGTAGAATAATATTTATATCTTGGGCACAGCATAATGCAGCAGAACAGCAGGAACAATCAGTCAGCCGAAATAAAGAAGAAAATTAGGTTGGCTTGGATTAGCTTGGGTTAGGTGTATGATGTTTGTGTACTATCGGTCATGTTGTACGGATTGACAGTTACCCAAGCTAAGAAAAGCGGACAACGACTGCGAATCTGCCAACCTGCGATGGAACAAGCAATGCTCGGAATTAGCTTGAGAGATGGGCAAACGAATGAAAATATCAGGGCGAAAACCAAAGTCAATGACTCGGTGGAACAAACTGCAAGTGTTGGCAGACCCCTGTTAAGAAGGCGAGATGAAATACAGAGACCAGCTGGCAAGAAATGGATTCTCACAGCGCAGTGTAGATGGACATGGGAACAAATGAAAGAGGCTTATGTCCAGGAGTGGACTGAAACGAGCTGAAGAAGAAGATAAGGAAGTACTGGTACTACAACCGAACGATGACTATTGCCGAACGAAACTGTGCGTTTTTTAACACGCTGTTTCTAAATAAACGCAATGTTTTAAAAATCAATATTAAAAACATTCCTCAAATTACTTTTTCGTACGGACATTTGCATTGAGTCGCTATAGCCGCCTGAATTCGATTTATCTTCGTTGTGTTTCAGCAAAAATGCAATGTCTAATTTCCCTTAATTCAGGCTAATAATTAATTTCAACAGTTTCCAAACGCATGTATTTGTCAGATTGTTGAGGAATTTTTAGTTTCAGCTATGTTATCAGGCAATTATATACGTCCAGTGCTCCCTTCCAATCTCAATTTTCTTTCAGTATGTTTATTTTGAACAAGATATAATAAAAACGATAGCAATTTTTGCGAAACTGACTTATTCTAGCCATGTCGATGTACGATCTTTTTTCAGTTAGTGTACTAACATCAACCACCATAAGGCAACATATAACATCGATTCTGTGTTGAAACTTGAATATCTTCACTTAAGTAGCTATTTATCTGGTGCACACAACTTAGCAAGTTCTGTGAGATCGAACATTATGGCTCGTTAATTCGCAACCTTTGGACACACGAGAAACTACATGTAAAACTTTCAGACAATGTAGGTTAGAAAGTAATTTTACAGTTTTATATGAGCATTCCATTTCGTACAAACACAAGTCAAAATACAAATATCCATTATTATTTAATATACAGGATGGCAAATTTATGTAATGGGTGTACGCATTGATGAATTTATTTATTTCATTCTTCCCAAGTATTTATCTCATTGTTCTGTGAATTCAGTTGAAAATCTAAAGGTTGAAACGTTGGTTTTGCTTTTCAACTAATTACAATAACCAATTTATTAATTTATGTGTCCTTTTCTTTTATTTGACATTTAGGTTTGTTGACTATGTTTGTTGATTTACGCATAAAGTGGCAGCTGTCTAGTTGCATACTTAATGTTCAAGATAAATACGTTTTACATGTTTTAGTGAAAATTATTATTTTCATCACTAATTATAATTTGATAGCAAATTAATATTAATTTTCAGTTTACACGATATGAAACATAAATGCGAACCACCCTGTATAATAAATAGAACAACCGTTTTCTACAGATCAGCAGTTTATTGTATAGATAGAACATTTGACTCTCAACATACGAAAATTCAATATGGCAGAAATATAATTATAATAAATACGTAAAGAGGTTTCACTGTTATTAACCCGAAATAGGTAACTTGCACGGTAAATTGAGCTAGTTTTTCAACATCAAAAATATTCATATATTTGTGCTATACAAAAACCTTGGTGCAAAAATAACTTCTTAATAATCCCAAGCAATCCATCGCGCAACGTTGTTCAAACTTATGTTTGAGTATCTGACTGTAATTCTGACTTTTGAGCAGTTAACAGAAAAAATGTCAATAAACTTCCCAGATGTCTGCCTATTCAATCATGAATATTATTTATCTTGATCCCTTGGTGAAAAGTACAAAGTTTTGCCACTGTTTTCGATGAGGAAAAAATCACTTTACTCATGACAATGGCATTATTCAATTAAATTTTCTTCATCCCGTGTGAAAAGTAATAACTTTCGCCAAGCACGCTGACAGCTTGACTGTTTGTCACTGACTGTCGGCTGACTGTTTTGACAACATTTTCAAAGCCATCTTTTCAAAATCGTATACTTTTCCGCTAGTATCCGGCTAGTCTCTACCGAGGATCAATGAAAATGATACGCAAGACAAAAATCGAAGGTCCGCCATCCGCCGTCAACTTCAAGCAGTGGTATAACGTCGACTTTCGTCTCTTGTACCGTAATATACTATTACCCAAAGTATTTTTTTTGCGTTGATTGAAGGAATTAGCAGAAATTTACGTATTTTGTAATATAAAGGAAATATTCATCCATTTCAATCACATCAGTTATTCTGAGGGTAAAAAGTAAAAAATAAGAAAGCAAATTTAGGTCAAAAAGAGAAGTGTGTTTGTAGTGTTTACAACCGTTCCCACCTCGGTCGTGCGTTTAAAGCGTTTAAAGCTGGAACATTTTTGCTTTTGTGTAAGTAATCATCCTCATCATTAACTTGATCAAATTCACAGCCACCGTCGTTAAAGCATCTCATATAATAAATATTCAATTTAATCGAAATGAGAGTGTTTTGTTATATGCCTTCAATTCCTTACTCATGTAATAAAAATTATTAACAATTTTAAATTTCTTCCCCAATACTTTTACTTTTTTATTTCGATCTATTGTTTCCGTTTCAGATAAATTTAAAGTCGGACTGTCATAAATTTGCACGAAAAAACTTCCGTTCTCTTGTGCTCCGTTCGTTTGCGAATATTCCGAATATATTAGAAAGGCTTTTGTTATAAACTAATGAGTTTATGTTTTAAGTTAACGAATGAAATAAATCAATCAACGCAAAGAAACACTGTCTGATACCTAAAGACACGTTTAAACTCTGTGCAATAGATTGCTTTAGTATTTTATACATATGTTAAGATAGTTTTAGGCTACGTTACATGGAGAACCTACGGGACTAGTAGACTCGGTATTATTGCCAACAGTAATCGAAATATTTACATAAGTGAATTATATACATTCATAAAAAGATTGCAAATAGGAATTCTGCTTTTTAATTGTTTCGAAATTTTAACACATAAATTGCATCTAAATTGCAGTATCTTAAAATGATGTAGGAAGTACGCAACATTTTTAACATTTCTGTGTCTTTGTCCGGCCCAATCGCGTTAGACTAGTTAGTTTTAGATAAAATCATGGAAATTAATAAAAATGAGTATTAATGGGTTAATAAAGTTATTTCATAGAAGTAATAAAAATGGTGCGTAACTATACTTAAGTTTATTCTAAACATATTTATTCTACATTGCACAAACCGATATATAAAAATCGAGTCAACATTGTGATATCCAGTTGCTATTTTATCTAAATGTTTCAGTAAACCAAACACGAATGATGGTAAAATTATTTTTATTGAATGGAAGTATCAGCCAACTTCGATAATAGTCCATACTTTCGCTAAGAGGAATATTCTTTGATATAATAGAGGAAAACTTTTGGTATTATTCAGGGTGATTAAAAAGTGGCGCCCTTCATCTGGAGGTGCTACCTGGGGGTGTTTTGAGAGTACAGGAAAAATAGTAAAACAATTTGCTGTATTAAAAACTGAGATATTTGCAATAAACTAGAGCAGAAGGATAACAACAACAGACAAATAAAATAAAATTAAGTTCTTAAATCACAAGAGGTGTACGAAGTTTTGCCCGTTTAAAGGTACGGTTTGAATGGTGTTAGTGCAACTGCGACTCGCGACTCGCGGCTGCTCGCATATGACTCCTTTAAGGCTGATTCATACTATTAGACACCTAACGAGCCGGCAGCGACACGATGAAACATTCTTATAAGATTAATAAATGGTGATGTTCACATTAAGCTGCAACGGCACGGTAACGACACCTACAGACAACGACGAAGCCGACCGACACTCACGACCTCTGTTGTTGTCGGCCCGTTAGGTGTCTGATGGTGTGAATCAGGTGGAATCACAGACGACAATTAACCGACATCGACATGACGGTGGTTTGTTGCGTTGTTTGTGATTATTTATTTGGCTATAACAAAACTTGAAGCTATATTTTAAACTAAATAGAATTACAATTATGTAATCATTCCAGGTTCATGAGACTTGGGATTTTCTTGATTTTTATACMTTTGGCAGTAGGTTTTTATGAAAAAYATATGAATAAAACAATTCTAATAATACAATATACAAAAGRAACGACTACTTACTAGTTTTTYRTTTATTTRMMGGTCTACATTTTGTTTAGGGTGCTGATTCTARSCATGATCTGGCCTARCGCACGGTACGTGTCGTTACCGTGYCGTTGCCGGTTARTAAGAAMACTACTATTTACTCATCTAATAAAAATGTTTTGTCGTGTCGTTGCCGTGTCTTTGCCGGTCGTTGGGWGGAAATATTCCTTTAATGTACTTTGCACATAAACGGTTTCTGTCGTACTTTGCGACTAGAGACACAACGGCTCGAGTTGCAGCTAATGCGATTCAACTGGTGCAAATGGTTCAAGTCGCAACTAAGATTTTGGGGAGATGGCTGGTTTTTTAGCGCATGAGGATCACATTTTTAATGGAAAGTCCAAAAATGCCCATTGATTTATGATTATAAAAATTAAAATTATWAAATTTTTATCGTAAAAGAAAATGGATGCAGGAAAATAAGTCCCATAAGCGGATTAAGATATTTGGATTTTTTTAAGGAATTGTACTTCTTTTAGTAAAATAACGCTTAMAAKTTTGAGGTCGTSCATCATTTCGACAGTTTTCTCTCAAATTTATTTACCTCACGAATTGATCTCTTGAACTGATCTGTTGCGACTATAAACGCATCACCCAAAACACGTTGCGACTGCGGCCAAACGCAACACCGAGTCGCATTCGCCGATCGCACAGCTGAAATCGCACCTTAACTCCAAACGTCTTTGGTCCCAATCAGTTGATTGTGCACTCTTGGCAGCAGTATGGGATCACATTTTGAGCAGATTCCCGTTTTTGGTTAATTAACTCGTGCTTAATTTGTACCGGTATTCGGTAGAACAGAGATTTATCTTCAATACCTGTTCCTCTAGGTCTGCAACCCGAGCATCTCAAGATCGTCCACTATCTGTGTCAATTTATGAAGCCAATCGTCCAGTGTYTCYAKTTTTTTGCTGGTGYAAGTTCTTACAGCKTCTCCTATCTTACTTKATTGACRACAGGTAGAAGWGTACTTTTTGAATATAAAARMAWTTWTRATTTGATGCAAAAGGTCGTAATTTTTATTTTTGARTGCMTAAGTATTCCAATAGGCCACCAATTGCCAAACCAGGATGAAAAAATTAAAAAATAATACTTAATATCAWAGTTGAATCTTCTAAAAAGTTTCGAAAAAATGTTTTCCAATATTCTTCTCGTAYTCTCTTAGTGAGCCCTATAGCGCTTTAAAAKGAATTACGCCAATTGTGAATCACCCTGTATAAGCGTGCYATAATTTKTTGAAAGGTCAATCATCTTTCAGGTGGACTTCTTCTTCTACTGCCACATTGGGTGCCAAAAAACCACCCAATCATGAATAATGTTGAAAAGGATGCAAAAGCACATTGCATTTTGTTGATAGCAGCTTATTAGTGGGACAAACGGCAACATATGGAATATTGCAAAATACTTAAAGCTTGTTGAAAATCTTAGTGTTGAGCTTTAATAAAAGTTCCAATGCTGACTAACCCAAACTAAATGTTTCGGTTTGATTCAAAGCATTCTCACTGGAAAAATAGCTTTCTCGGTTCAGGAGATATGTTTTTTTTACTTGATTTGAAAAGTCCCATTCCACAGGAACACCTGTTAAATAATCAAGATTAACACATGATAAAACAGGAATATGCTGATATTTCCATCCATTAAAGATTTAATTACAAACCAAATAGTCAGTCTTCTTAGTAACTAAACAAAAACTGTTACCACATTTATCACATATAAAACTTTGGTCTAACGTGTTCTATTAGGATACGGTGATATGGTGTATAAACACTTCTCTAATCAATAAAGTCTTATTGCTAGACCTTCTTATTGCAAGAGGGCATAATAATTGAACGCAGCGACAATAGTTATCAAACCAGACGACAACTGAAGAGTTCCTGATCGGGAAAAGGTATATTTCTCATTGTTGATAACATGATTGTGATCGATTAGAGTGAAGGTACGGGAAGCGATTAGTGGTGGCGCGACTTCCCTATCCAGACCATCTGTTGTGGAAACGCACGTTAAATTGCTGAGAGAATTAATGCTGGCTGAATTGTGCCTTCGGTCTAGATGCATTCGTAACTGAATTTTCGTTCTTCGTAGTTCAATGCCAGCTGCGAGATCGCGGTGAACCTCTTCCGGACTTATGTCGCGAACTAATGGATTAAGAACCTGGAACATACCGTGAGTTACTTTAAATATTCAGACCAATTCCATTTATAAACAGACAAGTTATTTAAAATATTTATATATTTGCGCTATAATTTTTCGCTTTTGCGCCGCTAACTTTACTTGGTTCAACCTTTAACTGCTCGCTGCACTTAAAGAAGTAGTTCTACGGTAAAAACGAGTGTAACCCTGTATCCTATAGCACTGTCCGAAGCTCAATAATAACGATCTACATAGATCAAATACCGTTAAATCTCGATCTGAAAAATATTTTTTTGGAATTACTCCTTTGTTGGTTATTGCCTTGAGTTAAAGTTTAATGCAGTTAGTACCTATGAGCTTTCGTATTATCGCGCAAAAGTTGACAATTATACCTTTATGCTATGCGGTTGAACTCCCCTTGTCATCTACATGAAAATCTAATTTTTTTCGTTTTCCGTTTTCTGTTGTGAATTATTTTATGAAAGAAAATAGTACTCCACATTTCGTAAAAACAGTTTGCATGTTACATCTCTCAAAACCGAGCTGTTTTCGAGCAAAGCTACTTTTAAAATTGTTCTGCAGAGTGTAGTTAAATAATTTCCAACGTTTTAAGAGAACGTTCCATCGGTACAGCTGCACTTAGAATTAACCATTCTTTGTTAAATACCTATTCGATTAAGTAATAGGTATTATTAGATTTTGTAGTGCTGCTTCAAAATGTTTATAGCAAATTTTCAAAGTGCTGTCTATCCTCCTATATGCACAAATTAAGTCTTGTCAAAAAATTGGGGAAACCCTTGAATGTAATATATATTTCTCTATATAATTTTTAAAAACTTTAAAACAATAATTTTTTGATTTAGAAATGTGTTTCGGGCTTTGAAGCCGTAGTCCATGAGAATTTCTTCCTGACGTTTCGTCCACAACTGCGATGGACATTATCAAAGGCGATGAGGCAGTGAGCGAAAAAATAAATACGACAGGGGATCCAGTAGTTGAACCAGTCTTAGTCGGAAAGCACTGGAGATCACTTTGCCAACTTCAAAGCCCGAAAAACATTCCTAAATGTCGAGATTTGACCGGCTGTAAAAGCCTTCACAATCTAATAATTTTCTGATATGATGAGTCTTTAATTCGAAAGGATTGCGTAATGATGTGCGGTATACTAGCGGTCGAGCCCACTATACCAATATACCCTCGTCCTATCCATCTTTCAAGACGTGCTTCATTCAGCAATCTCCTAACAGCTACTATGCAATGTGGAAAAACTCCATCTGGTAATAATTACATTGAGCTTCTAACTTGAAGAGGCACAATTTCCAAAAAAACCTGCAATTGATTTTTTTTGTGAATCTATAAGGCCCAATTAAGTAATTTACTGCCATGTCAGTCCAGATATTAACAGAAAACGTGTTCTAAAGTCATAAGAGGGGTGTAGGGGTGACATTGTAGAAGTAGTACCTTTGTCGCGAAACGGCCACACGCGGACATAGCTAGGATGGTTTCAACACACTGGTCTACAGGGTCCCCAACTCATTTTCTGGTTTCAAGCGCCACACTCTGCTAAACTGCGTTGTTGCGCAGGCCACACCAACTCAGAGACTAGTTTATATTAAACAGTATTATAAAGTACAGCTTTCGGGATCGCTAATTTCAGGCTGAACCCAGCCAATGAGAGCTAAAACTCGAAACTAGTCCTGGCGGTGCTTGAGGTTAGCGCACCTCAAAATCTGCACATGCCTATTTCAACAGCCCATGACCACTCTGCTGATGCCGAAAGCTTTCTTCGCTTTCATCGCCATGATTGAGATCAAAGATTCCAGTACACATATGCCCGTATGACAAGGAATCTTTTTCACATTAAGATTTAATCTTGTTTAAGATTGCCTTCAGTGATCTAAATTGTCCAAATCTAGTGCGGATGGCACTAGACAGTTGCCGATTTGGAATTATTATTTTTGGATGTGTTTTAATATACATAAGTTCTTCCGCAGAAGCATTTCTACCTTATTTGTGTTTTGACGTTGGATTTTCTCTATATGTTTTTAGAAAAAAAGCACGTATTTTTTTATGCGTTAAGCAAATTTTAGCGCTTTTTTTGGCTAATTTTGGCGGTTTGGTAAATATGAATTTTTAAACACCATGTGTAATAAAAAAGTATGTGGCCATACGTCGTTAGTTATTAATATTCTGTATTTAGTGATAGTAATACTAAAATTGGTAAATAAGTAATGCAGTTTTGGTACAGAATTTGCTCAATTCAGTATAATACTTCCCTTATAAGACCCTTGATAATTTTGGAAAATTGAAAACTAAATTATTAAAATTTTAAATGTTTATATAACTTATAATATAACTTATAACTTATCTGACCGTCCACGGATTGAAGTGCAAATTGTTTCTGGTGAAAGTTGGCAGCTTTACTTTAACATTAGCTGAGTCTTAGTTTTCTACCATTAGCGGTTTGGATGATACCAAGTTCTAAACATATTGTTTGTAAGAAAAGAAAATGTGTGTCATACGCAGCTAAATAATGAAAATTGCAAATTTTAAAGTTGCTCTCTTTCCTTAATGGTCCTGTCGCGTTTGGACTGGAATTTTTTCCAACAATTGAGTTCTCCTATTTTGATATTAATTTATATTTGATAGAACTGCTCAGAATATTTAGTACAATAATTTATTATACTCTTATTGAAGTGAAAAATTTATTTCTTCTTTTACAATCAAGTCAACTTGTTTATCTTGTCAGTCACAATAAAAATCGATCATTTCAGAAAGGCACGTAAATCTTTTTACGTAAATTTTACTGTTTGCTTGTTTGTACACAAAAATTGTAGGTTTTTAAATAGCTGACAACGATCAGCTCAACATCTTTGCATTAATAATAAATACGTTTTGTAATACGTGTCCTACTAAAGTTTAAAACAATCGGAAAATCAACGGAAGGCAATTCCAAACAAAAATTGTAAAACTAACTTTATCGACCTGTCATAATTGAGTTTTTGAAAAAGTTTGAAAATGAAAAGAAAAAATAAGTAGACACGCATAGTTTCTGTTTTGAAACTTCGTTGTTAAGTGTTGGTGGCATAAGTTTTGAACACCCTGCATAAATATCGGACATTTATGGTGACTATGGAGTCCAACACAAAACACATAAAGCCACTATTTTTGTATGTTTAGGTGCATTCAGGTCATTTACGAGAAAAAATATATGTTTTTGTGGCTTCTAAAAAACGTTTTATTATCTTAAAAGCTAATATTAATTTTATGTAAAAGGGTAGATTGCTCAATCTCATTATGACATGTTATACAATACTTTTTCGACCACTGCAGAATATTAGAATGAAAACGAGAATTATTCCTCTGGATATCAGGAATAAGATTTTATATATTTTTTTTTAGACTTGGCGAATTTTGATATGCTAATTTTGCTAAGTTGTCATCGAAAGCAAATTTATTCTTAGTATTTGCTGGTATTGAAAAATATGAATCATGCAATAGAAAAGAGTTTGCGCTACATACAGCGTGTTCCAGACAGGGGCAGATCCAGATTTAAGTCAGCAACCTTTTAAAAGCATTAAAATGTGGAAACGTGATGTGTAAGTACGTAAATAAAGTGTTCTACTACCCGAAGAAAAATTAGTATCTATTCAATATAAGTAGTTCCTTTACACATTTAGCGAATATAGTCTATATAATATGTGTCTTAAAAAGTATCACTTTCCTTTATTTTAAAGTTTTACTCACCAACAACTTACTGTGCCAGTTTTACAATATATTTAGTTCAACCCAAGCCTGATTTTATTTGTTTACTGTTCCAGATGTTAATAATTTATTGCGATGTATTATTATTGACTTAATTCAAATGACTAACAACTTTAACACTCTTAAACTGATAACAAAATAATTTACGAAATGTTCAGATCGTTTTTACAAAAACCAGCAGACTAAACCCATCTACTAATTATTGAAATCAAGATTAGCAATTACCAACTTTTCCCGGGATCTTTTTTCTTAGAAAAGTTTGCTTTAATTCGGCAGATAATCCACGGAAGTCCGTGAAATAATTACTTTAGAATTTCCAGCGCTTAGCCAGAGGCATCAAAGATTAATTTATTTTTCAATTTTTCCTCATTAAGCAGATTATTCCACATACAAAGCATGAAATAGATATTCAACTGTTTCAAATCATTTCTTGAACATATAACCTTTTAAACTGTAGGCTATTTAAATAACATTTTAAATTGCTCTTCAGTTTTAGAATAAGTTTAATAAATACGTCATTTATTGTCTCTATTAATCAAAATACGTTTCGGTACATACATGCAGAAATGCATGCCAAGTCTTAAAGCAGCAACAACGCTACACGTAAAAACTGATGATGGTGAAAAAATACACCGAAACGTATTTTGATTAATAAATAAAGACAATAAATGACTGAAACCTAGGAATAGATTTGATTTGAGTTTAAGTTATAAAAAATAATTACTCAACTGGTTTTAATCGAATTCTTTTCCAAATATTAACTAATTATTCCATAATTCCATTCAATTTTGCCTAATTAAGCGTATGTTTATTGCGAATATTTGGTTATTTCAATGTACAGTTTTAAGTATTTATGGTGAAATAACATTTTAAGCAATATCATTATAATATTGAAATAAATTAAATTATAGCTTTATTCATTAATAAAAGTCAACATTAAATACATAGGCTTTGCATTTGAAAACTAACCACATATTTTAATATAATATTTTTAAAACTTGAAAAATGAATCAAAATATAAAAAATATGTCGATCTAGATCAGAAGAAGGTACCTCCCATCGGATCACATTTTATTTTAGATTGTCGAAAGGCAACGACGGCAGCCTAGCTGCTGGTAGGGTCACTCTCGATTAGGTCAAAGGCGAGGGATTAGACGAAGCATGTTCCCTGGTCCTCCAGGATGGGGGCTGAATTTATGGGCTTGCTACCCTTTCTTCATAAAAACCTAAACTTAAACAACGACTTAAGCTACGGGACCTTGAATATCGGAAGGGGGAATGTACAGGGCATCAGGACCGAACTTATGGAAGTTATCAGCGAAATACGGAAAATGGACATGGACATAATAGCATTATCTGAGACCAAGAAGAAAGGATCAGGGATCGAAGAAATGGACAACTATATTCATTTATTCAGTGGAGTGCCGAAAGATAATTGAGCAAAACGAGGAATATCAATATTGATCAAGAACAGTTGTAAAAGTGGAATAACAAATTTTGAAACAATACACGAACGAATAATAAAGGTCAATATAACAATCCTCGGAAAACGAGTAACTATTATTCGTATATGCGCACCGAACGATGATGACATTAACCAAATGAAAGTTAATTACTACACAAAATTACAACAAATTCGGGACGAAGTAACACAGAGTAGAGAAGTAATAATAATTGGCCATTTTAATGTAAGAACTGGACGCAAAATGAATGATGCCAGCGTGAGAGGTTATGGCGCAGAACAAACTACCGAAAATAATAAGCTAACAACTGCACACGGCTTCATTGAATACAAGGACAATCATAAATACACTTGGACTCAAACCATAAGACAGCTAAAATCAATAATAGATTACGTTGCGACACTTCAACAAACTCAACTGCAAGTGAAAGACTTAAGAGTAAGAAGAATTGTAGACTGTGGCTCAGACCACCACTTGCTACGTGCAAAAATAGCATACCCGTATAGAGCCTGGGACCAGACTTCAAGAAGAATCACTCAACATCACAACCCACAAAATACAATCACGACTGTATAACATAGATGGACTTGAAGAAGATAGTATACTGCATCAACATAGATAAGACGACAACTCTTGAATATTGAATATACAAGTACAAACAACTTTTACTAGCATTTAAAAGAAGCAATACATCAAGAGGTAACTGAAGCTTTGGGGATCAGGGAACAAACGCGACTCCGAGAGAAATGATGGTGGGATAAAAGTCTAGAACAAGATGTAAATCAAGAACAGTTGTCTGCATTTTTATAATATTTGATCTAGCAGTTATTGCGTAGTATTAGGTGGGATTTTATAATAAACAATTTTCAAATAACTCCACTAGAAAAAGTCTAGAGGGGTCAAATCGGGAGACCGTGGCTGGCCACTCTTTTGCATCCAGCTACGAATCCATTTGCCGGGATACTGCTGATTCAACTACCCACTTTCTAACTGGTAAAGCAAAACGTCAGTGACTTGAAATGGAAATTTCCTTCCTCGATCCGCAAGGTTCCATTTTCTTCCATTTGATAATCTAACTGTTGTATGATTTTGAGGCTAGTTCTCTCACATTTCATATTATATATAATAAATGCTTTCATTCACGTCATATATAATAAATGCTTAGTTGAATTTATTATAGAATTAAACCACAAACACATACTTACTTGTTGCTTGTTAATGAAAAATTTTAATGTTGGCTTCGGATCCCCAAATCCGGATGTGCAAGTTGCGAGCAATGTATCGTCGAGCGCATAGGTCTTCTTTAAATTTTCTATCATCGGGGGTTCCTTTGGCAGTGCTGAAAAAATACTTTGTTAAGAAATCAGATAATTATGGCTTAAAGAAAATGGCACATCATGCAACGATTTACGTTTTGCTCAGTATTTCGACTCTTTTACGGGTATTTCTCACCAGCTTGAGAAATGAAAAAATGTGGGGACCCCAACAGATAAGTAGTATAATCTCTCAGTTATGAACTAAAGGTATATTTTGCAAAAAAACCTATCAATTATTATTTCTATGGTGTTTCTTACACAAGCGTTAGTGAGCGCGAGATATTCTCAATTAAACTATCAACTTAATTTTTATAAAAATATAAAATTCTGTGTACTACTCAAATTTTTGAGCAAAACTTTCTCCTGTCCAATTTAACGAAGAGTATTTCTAATTTAATTTTCAAGTTACAAGGTTATAAAAGGGTGATTGGGATCAATTACGTTCGTTAAAATGAAATTTCCTAATTATTTTGTCATTTTTGTAAAACTTATGTAAGAAGTTGTATCTTGAAAACTTGGCGTTGTCTATTTTTTTTTTGCAGAAATACATGCGGTACCCTAATTGCCCTAAATTCTTCGATTTTTTTAGGAGCCAAGGGGAGGAGAGAGTTTTAATTAAAAAACTTTTCCGCAATCAGACTAATAAGTCTTTGAAGTTGCAATTTTGCACCTGAATAACTTCCTTATTTCAAATTGAGTAATCAAATTTTTATACCGTTTTCGGTCTTAATGTCTGGTTAGATGACTAGTTTATGTAAGGTGCCTTATCTTTAAAAGTTGCCATTTTCCATAGTGTGGTTGGTCCATAAGTGTTAGGTCCTTGAGGCCATTGCTGAAAACTGGTAAGCTTTCTCAGCTTCTTTTAGGGCGTCGTTGAAATAATTTCCTAACGTGTCGCAAAGGAGAAGGATTTTTTTGTTGACGTTGTTATTGGGAAACTGTAGCTCCACGACTTTTCTTATTGCATAGCAGCGGAAGCCGGTTGCTGCTGGTTTACTGTTGAGTGTTCTAACAATGCCGATTTTCCTCTTGTCTCAATCGACACTTTCCTCAATGTTCTTAGATCGAGGCATTAATTGAATTTTTTGTGGTTCTCTTCTCAAAACGCATAAACATCCACAAGAGCATACTATTAGGTAGACTTCTTTATTTAAGATCATCTATCCTTAACCGTCCTTAAGCAGTTATAATTTTTAGTTTTAGGCTTGTAGATAGTAAACGGTAGAAGTGATTTGCGTGTTGTTCTGCTTTGTGTAGGTTTTTTGGTATATCCGTTCTAAAAAAATGTTTCCTTAGATGTTTTAATTCGGTTTTCTGATGCTTTGGGCCGCGACTCTTCTGCATTTGAAAAAATATGGGTGACTCTGCAGACGACTACAGCGGAGCATGTCTTGTTGCACGTCCTTATGTAAATTGTATACTTGGAAGTTTCCAGTTTCATAAAGTGCCATAAAATTCAATGGAATAATTCCACAATTTTAACAAAAGAACAATCCACTAAAAAACGTAAAATTAAAGAAAGCGCACTAATTTTACTAAATCAAAATAATTGCGTTGCTTCATGTTCATTTAATTTAAGTCATACATGGTTACC